GACCGAGCGGCAGCCGGGACCCGGACCCCCCTCCCGGGCTGCCGCAGGGCCTCCCTTCGCTTGTGCCTGCGGGCCGTGGGCGTCCGCAACGGCGGGACCGCTACCGTGTGGAAAGAAAGGGGGTTTTTCTCTCTTTCCGTCTAAAAAGGAGCATTTCCTACACCCCCCCCCCTTAAAAGTGTAAGTTCGTAACGAGTCCCTTTCCCTGGAACGAGTTCAAATAAGAGTTAATTTAGGTCTGCCGGGAGTGAATCGTGGTCAGAGAAAGGACAAAATTTCCCAGCCAGGTGCTTGGAACCTGTTGCTCGGCTGTCTTACCACCCTAGCTCACACTGGGAATCAAAGAAACAAACCGTGACATGGTGTCACCCATGTATTGCACAATTTTTCAGCTAAAGAGTATGAAATTTCCTATTCAACACCTCTGGCAGACTGACAGGAACGTATCTTCACCTTCCTGATTGTGTCAAAGGCTAAAATCAAAGCCAAGAAAAAGAAGTAGAGGGGGGAAAAAAAACCACAAGCAAACTTTTATTTCACTGTGGTATATGCTAAGTGTTCACTGGATACAGAAATTCAGAGAACAGGCAGGTTCACAGGTATTTGGGTTAAATATTTTCTGAAGACAATAAAAACTGGAGGGTTTGAGAGAAGGCTTTGTGGATGGCCTCACTGCAGCATTAACAGTACTGGCTAGAAAGTAATTAAGAGCTTTTTATTACTCTAAAAGTCGTTGAGTATTTAAAGATAAATATTTATTTGGAGAAATACAGTCTGGCAACCAGTGACAGAGTTTTGAAGTGCCAGCAAAAGAGAGCTGAGATGATTATTCTGCTAATGAGAAAGCTGAGGCTGGTACTGCAGCACTGTGATTCATATTGCTTAAATTAGATGTGAATCATCTTGATGGTACAGTGCTTTGTAAACTCTGGTCCCTGATCTAAAGCAACTAAATGAGATAGAATTCACCAGGACTGGAGGTAGTGTTTTGTGCTTGAAGAGTTTAAATAAATAATCTGTGGTATGAAAAAAAATTTAAATCGATTTATCAACGATACCACTGAGTGCCTTCCAAGTGTTGACACTGTTTAGCAAAAAAAGCCATTGCTCTGCTGTCAGTGACATACTTGTTTAGCCCCAATTTTACAAATGAGATTTTAGTAATAAATATGGAAACACAAATAAAAAAGGGGGCTTAGCATCTGTATTCTCAGTGGTTTGTATTTTAAATTCAGTTACACAAACTTTGGAGACTCATTGAATATGAATGGGGCAACCTCGGAGTTTTCAAAGAGGTTTGACAATATATTGGAAGGAAACTAGGAAAAGCTAGCAACTGATAATGAACTCAAGGGATTTATAGACTAAAAGATGCCACTCCAGACAGTTGCTGTGCTTAAAAAGTAGTAGATGCTATTTTTGTTGTGGCTGGAAATTCTCTATGAAATTTTTTCATTCCTTGGTAAAACAAATCTTGCTGAATTCAGCTTCACTGGCTGGGGAGTGGGAGTTCCACCCTTTCTGCAGAAGCTGAAAAAACTTAATTCTGCTGTGGAATTACTGGGCAATCTGCAGGAATTAAAGTCACAATCCGAGGTTTGGAGGAATATTGTGAGTTTGCAGGACAGCCTTTACATGTTCTTTCTGTACATATTCTTTACATATTCTTTCTGTACTCAGAGTTTTACACATTTGTATCTCAGCTATCACATGTAGCATGATTCTATCCATAACCTGGTTTTGTTCTAGATCACCAAACATTTTGGGAAATATTTCTAATACTGGTTTTATATAAAATATGTAGAGGATATCGAAAGCACTAGCATTTTCAACCTTTTATCAATAAAGGTTGAATTAATTATTAGTCACATCACCTTATTATCATTATACCCACCTTAGTTTGCAAAGGTAAATGTGTCTTAAAAGCTTACCTAAATTTCTTAAGTTAGTAAGACTGCTGTACACAAACCTCCTTTTTTTCTTTTTTTTCACCTACAAACCTGACCAAATAATGACTAGACTTACTCATGGAGTCTAATAACCAGAGCAGGGGTAGCCCCTGCTTCTCAGTTTCCACAGCACTGAGTGCAATGAACCTGATAAAGGCCCACACTGCCTTTAATAAAGTTCATGGCTGAAATTTATTTTAATCACCTACATGCTTGTATGACTTCTGAATATTGGTTTAACTCTGAATTTTTCTATCATCCAAATCCAGGCCAATTAATTTGTTCTAGTTTGGGCAGTATTTCTGAAATAATATCCCCACTTTAACTGATGAATTATCATTACTAAAAGTGTTTTCAAACAGAATATTTTAATACTCTCTGATTGATAGTCTTGCAAGTATTTTGTATGTCATAGGTCAGCAGGAAGTTGTAGATAGGTATAAAGATAGGTCTGTTGTGTGCCTAATCTGGAATGTGATTTTCAGTGAATGAGTGTTCAGGCATTTTTAAAGTTCAGATGACTTTCGTCTAGTACAGCATAATACAGTCCTGTGAGAATAAAGGTTAACTTGGCATCCAGCGCACTGGGCGAATAGGAATACATTGTACATTTGATTTGCAGAGATCTTTAGGAGACATTTCAGGTGCTGAAATATGTGCCTAGTGCCAGTCTGGGTTCTGGAGTACCGTGTATGACTACAAGCTGCCATGAGTCTCCTATAGATCTCATGCTGTGGCTGAGATTCCTCTGCAGATGTCTCAGATACCCCAGGGTATATAAATGGCCCAAGTCACATAGGGAATTGTCTCCCAACCTCTGTGTCTGTTTGGCTATTTTTTGTTTAGGTAGAGCACCTAGAAGGAGGTTTGTCATACTTTCTTCTAAATATACAAAAATAAAATAACCATTGATCACACTGGGTAGACAGGACATGACTCTAAAGAGCTCTGCTGAAATATCCACATATGGTATCTTGCATGATACTTTATTTGTCCCAGAAGAATTAAGATGATAGATGATAGCTGGGATTTGAACTTGTGCATCAGGAAGTCCACTTTGAATATAAAGGGGGCAGTATGTGTTTTGTGAAACTACCAATGTAAAGAGGATGTAGTAGAAGAATGGGTTTCAGTTTTATTGGAACAGTGACATTTCTGTGGAAACGAGGCAATTGTTTATAGTCCTGTCTGCAGTTTGTGAAGCCGGTTCAGAAACGGGGTGTGGATGGGGTTAAAGCTCTGCGGGGAGGGGAGCCACAGGTCCCTGGGAGGCTGCCAGGATTGGTGCCCCAGGGCTGGGGAGCCTCAGCCCCCAGGGCCCTGCAGCAGCAGGGTGGGGTGGGGTGGG